TATATATATATATATATACACACACACATATATATAGTAAATACCAAAACGTGTGTGTGTATGTGTATATATACACACACATGTGTGTGTATACTTTTATATTTACCTTTTTTTTTTTTTTTTTCTTTACATTTTATATTACTTTAAAAAAATATTTCACTTTATATTTATTTTTAAGTAAACTTGCATGTGCTTTGCACATCAAAATATTTATTTGCCCGGTCACACTTTCAGTAGATGGCAAACAACAAATTAGCTACGCATAAAGAAGCGAATAGTTCAGCCAGTTCAATTTTGTTTGGATTATATTACAATAAATTATTTCTTTGTAAAGTGTCCCTGTTATATTTTTTTCACTTCCATAAATGTGCTGATTGATGATCTTCCCCACTGAGAAGAAGATTCAGCCAGAAAGCCACTATATGCCGACACAGCTCTCTTATCAAAAGTCTAAACGGCTGAAAACTTCAGAGCAGGAATCACACAGCGCTCTCATTTCCATACAGGCAACACAACAGATGACTGCTGCTTTCAAACACATGCACATTCTCCACCTCATATTCTTTAATTCATTCAAACATTAACAATCTCCTGCAATGTCAGTCGATAAGAATCATAATATTTGGCTAACTGTCTATTCAAATATTTAGGTAGGCGGGGGGTGGTTTTGCTCCTGTGTTCCAGCAGGAGGGATGTTCTGTATTTACTAAAGTAACCAATGTTCCTCACGTTTGGTTGCATCCTTTCTTCTCTTAAAGGGATAGTTCAGGCAAAAGTGAAAATTCTATCTTTTATTTACTTTATTTACGACTTGAAGTGGGTTTGGAATGACCTCAGGGTGAATAAATAATGACAGAATCTTCACTGCTGTCAAGTTTCTGAAAAAAAACAAGTATAAATAGTCCATGTCTCTTGCAATTCAGGTCACCTGAGGTCATATTTTATTCACACTTTTGCAAACTATTTCATCTCAAATTTTCCAACTTGTTGATTTTAAAAAACAACAGGCAATACCATTGTTGTTTCGTGCACTGGTCTATTTAGAGATTTTGGGCTAATGTGCTTTTATAACTTGTCTTCTTTCAGAGTAGATGAAAGAAAGCATTCAAAATACACATTTAAGTG